CAGTACCCCACTGGACAAAGAGGACTGTGGTCCCTTTTATGAACTGGCCTTGGAACCAGTGCAGCATCATTTCCATCCTACCATATTGGTCAAGATGGCCATACCCTCCCCACCTCCAGATTCCAGGACAGAGGCACAGATTCCACTGCTTGATAGAAGGATGGTGGGTTGCATCATAGATGAACATGCGAAAACAGAGATACAAAGTGGTTATCTTTATCTGAAGCTACTCTCTACCTTTTGGTACAATGTATGGTCTAATCAAGTTATCCTTCATTTCCAACTCGGGCTCCATTCCTCTATGAGCTTATGTTAGAAGACTTGTCCCTATGATGCTGTCACCTTGGCAGCTTCCCTGGTGGTGGTGGGGAGCATATGCATGCTATCCAAAGAAGGTAAAGGGGGCCGGGCGGTGGTGGCGCACGCCTTTAATCCCAGCACTCGGGAGGCAGAGGCAGGCGGATCTCCGTGAGTTCGAGGCCAGCCTGGGCTACCAAGTGAGCTCCAGGAAAAGGCGCAAAGCTACACAGAGAAACCCTGTCTCGAAAAACCAAAAAAAAAAAAAAAAAAAAAAAAAAAAAAAGAAGGTAAAGGGGAACTGGGAAAGCAGGCTCCATGTTGTCTCCCTCCCTCGCTACAACCCTGCTGGAGGTAGCTGCGTTGCTTTATAAGTTCCTTTGGTCCTTTCTCCACAACTCCAGCCTTGAGCCATTTCTATACTTCATCCCTTTCAAGCAGAACAATGCTAATGTCTTTTCATTACTATCAGACTTTATGTGCTTCCCTGGGCTTTACTGTTCCTTAATACAGACAAAAAGTTCTATAAATAATTCCTGCATTGATATCTCATTTAAAGTATTATAGAAAATTCTGATTTTTATCAGGGTGATGTCTGATAGAGCATTTAACACAAAACAAAGATTGGGTAGACAAACACGAAATATATAGATTTCTGTATGCATGTCTGTATGCATGTATGTAGTTCTAGTATCTTCTAAATGCTTGATAGACTTGCTGGCTAGTATAGGATGTCCCTCTGTCATGGCTGTGCTTTTCCTATGGTCTGAGGAACTTTTTGTCAGTGTGTGCTTACTGGGGAGGGGGGGTCATGGAACCCACAGAAGATTGGATCCACTGGGACATCCTTAGATTTAAAGGAGTACTCATAGAACCCTGACTTGCTTCTTTCAAGAGGTTCTTTAATATAAATCAAGACTGGGGACTTTCCTGGTTCCTCTGGCTTCCTGTCTGATAATGTGATAGTTCTATTCTTCCTTTGTACATCATCCATATGATGACATTCACAGGAGGCCTTCTCCACAGCTGAGCTGATAATCATCTCATGTCCCCAAGCCTCTGGCACCCTGTGGTCAGTAAACTTTTATTCATAAAGTGATTCAGCCTTAGGGATTCCATAATAGTAATGAAAAAAACCTATTATCTTTCAAAAATAACCTCTTCTATGATAATGTGTTTTCCTTCAAACTTAAAACTTCAAAATAAAATATCTGTTACTAAACTTCTATTTAATCATAAATAATCTTAAATTTTCCATATTCATATGAGACATATTGGCTTCTACTAATCATCTCTTTCTTTTCAAAGTTTATGAACGAAACACAAAATGATCCATCCATGGCTTTGCTAGAGATTAAAAACAGGACTATTCCTTATCTTTCAGAACCTCTTTATGGTCCATTTTTAAGGACTTATTTTATTCTTAATTCATATGAATATATGTGTGTCTGCTCATGTGTATGTGTATATATGGAAGTGCCCATGGAGGCCAGGATCTCTTGGAGTTACAGGTGGTCATGAGCTACCTGACATGGATGCTAGGAACTGACCTCAGGTCCTCTGCAAGAGCACCAACTGCTCTTAACTGGGGCATCTCTCCAGCCCAGGTCTATTATTTTTTAAAAACATATTTACCTAATTGTATTTGGAGGTAGAAGCTACACTTCTCAAAAATCAGTAGATGTGATGGTGTATAAAAAATATAAGGACAGTTTATGTGTACTATAATTTTCACAAAACTAGTGAATTTTCCCCCTAAAAGTAGAGAATTCGAACTGTCACAGTGGTTCCTCAGATAAAGTGCTTGCCACACAACGTGAGTACAAGAGCTCTGATCCCCAAAACCAAAAGGGCTGGGTTGGGTTGGCAGTGGTCTGCCTATTAATTCCAACATGGGAGACAGAGAAAGGGACTCACTGAAGCAAGCTGAATACCCAAATGCCAGCTCTGGGCTCAGTGAGTGACCTTGTTTCAATGTCCATGGTGGAGAATGAAGAAGGAAGACACCTAATGTCAACCTCAGGTCCTGTGCACATGCACATGTAACCATAAACATGCAGACAACACACACGTATAGCACGGGTCTACGTATGCAAAAGAAAGCAGAGAACTGGCCTCTTTTCATTAGTATTTCTCTTTTATTTCCTTGTGGCCAAGTTACAAGACAATTTTTAGCATGATTGCTGTCATTTGCATATTTTTTCTTTTTACTTTATTTCCTTGTCTCTGTTTTCTTTTCAAACACCTGTTGTTACTTTTAAAAATCAATACCTGTTGCATTTCCAATGTTTTTTTCAAAGTTCGGATCAATTACTCCTTGGCAATTTTTTTGAAAACTCAATGCCCCCCACTTTCTTTTTCTCTCCATTCCTCCTGGTATATGTTACCACTTAGTGTTTGTCCTAGCTTGCCATCTAGGCTTCAAGACTATGATAGGAAGAAACAGATATTGCATGTTTTTCCTAGAAGGAGGGAAACCATGTTTACCTGGGAGAAAATGTCAGTCAAAGTTCTTATTCTTTTGATTAATTCTGGAAGGGACAGCAGTTATACATTCACAAACAGTCTAAGGAGAAAATGTGACTATAAGTGTGAATGTCACCAATCTTACATGAGTAAGGGACAGTGAGAGCTGGCTTCACAAGCACTGGGCAGACCCCATCTGGGAGTAGGCTGCACAGTAGTAAAGCTCCAGAGAGGCCGAAGAGGGAGACGGCAAAGAGTGGTTCCAACTAGTATTACACCCTTACTTTTCAACTTCTAAGGACATAGTTCTTAACTTTCCCTAGGCAACAAGTACATGAAGTTACGTAGCAGCAAGTCGGGTTGGTGCAGGTGTATAAGCCTGAACCATACAATTCTGGAAACCCATCTTTTTAAAAGAATACAAAACCACCAGGACATCATTATGAGGAGAGTATGACTCCCAGTAATAACCTCTAAAAGGAAACCTCAGCAAATGGCTGGAATCCTGGCAGTTCCTTTATTCTGCTACTGCTTGAGGCAGTTCGATAGGAATGCTCATTCACAGGGCTCCTGGCTTCAACCTGCCTTTCCCCTCTCACCTAGACCATCTAACGCCAGCAATCCCCAGCATTCCCATAGACCCAAGCCAATGAACAGCTCCTCCATCTCAGACCATCTCAGAATCATCTCGGACCACAGGGACTCCCTGAGACAAGGATTCTATAGGACAGAAGCTAGGGGGAGAGGCTACCTGAGAGTTCACAGCAATTCCAGGTGATTTTGATATACAAGCTCCAATCCCAACACCTCTCCCTCAATTCTGGAACTTCCACACTGATCTGAACATAAAGTATGTGGGTAATGGGGGTGGGGTGGGGGGTGAGGGTACTGGGTCACTGGATGGCTCAGTAGAGAGAGTTGCTTGCTGCAGGGCCTGGGGACCTGGGTTCAGTCCCTGGGGACCTGGGTTCAGTCCCCCAGAGCCCACATGATAGAAGGAGAGGAGACAGAATGCAGGCAGTTCTCTGGTTGCCATTAGTGCAGCAGGGCGCGCGCGCGCGCGCGCACACACACACACACACACACACACACACACACAAACACGAGCGCGCGCGCAAATAAATACAAATAAAATAAATTTTAAAGCAGTATTGAAACTAAGCATAAAACAATCCCAATTTTATAGTTTAAAAAGATGGAAAAGCTAAGCACACAGAACTGTGATACAAAGTCTACAGAGAACGCAACTGGGTGGAGCACTCCGTAGGCGCTAAAGGGTGCAGACTGAAGTTTGTGAGCTGGGCACTGGAGTCCAAGTGTTCTGGTTCCTTGCTAACTTCTGTTTGACGGTCATTAAGTAAGTAGGCCGTTTAAACATCCCAGGGTAACATGTAACTACTGCACAGACGCCCCAGTCATTGATAGGAAGTTCCCAGTGAGTTCAAAGCTTCCATTAGTGGCACCTTTGAGAAACACAGGACTGTGCCACATGAGAGGTGTTTTTGTTTGGAACTTTCAGAAAGTGCGAGTTTCAGGCCACAGGCACCCAAAGCAACCACTAATGCCCATAAGTCCATTTCGGTCCAAGCATAATACTAGCCAGGGAGAGCCTCTGAGGCTAAATTTCCAAGCAAATGTGAAGGAAATATGCAGACTGGAGCTGGGGTTTGGACCATAGTTAACTGACCACCACCCCCGACCCCAGGGCCCCCCTCCCCCGGCCATAAAAAAAAGATAAAAAGATTAAAAAACAACTCCAGCTCTTTCTGTAGTGGAGGCCAGGCTTTCTTCTGCTGAAAGGATTTCTACACCTAAGGGTCACAGGATTCCAGCCTCTCTTAGGGTGTGACTCAACTCTCCCATTCACAAGTAACAACAGTAAATCAAAAAACCACTTTCCTGCAATAAAGCAATTGCTCTCCTAGACTTCAGGATTGTCAAGAAGCCTGGAGGAGAAGCAGTTTCAGGCCACCCGCCCATATATGATACGGGATGTCCCTGTCAAGGAAGGAAAAAATTGAAAGAGTAGGGGCGGGAGGTTAAAAAAAATCAGAACTTTTGAGACTCCATAAGCCTTGGCCCTGCCTCTGGGAAGGCCAAAGTGCTGAGGAGGGAGCGGCTGATTCAGGCGGGCTGTACCTTCTCCAGCTCGGATTCAGCAGGGAGTTGAGTCACCCTGGAACTTTCCCTGGACGCGCCGCCCCCTCCACATTCGCGGCAACGTCCCCTGCCCTCACCTTACTGAACACCTCCAAGTCGTCCTCGTCCTCGTCCAGATCCAGCACGTCGGCCTGCAGCAGGCTGCAGGAACCGCTGCCACCCGGGATCGGGGCGCCGCCCCGCGGGCTCTCACCGACCGCCAGCTCCGAGGAACCCGACGCCAGGCGCTCGCCGTCCATCCCGGCAGTGCGAGCCCCGCCGGCCGCCGCAGCCAGACCGGCTCCCCCCTGCGCTCCCATTGGTTCCCGCGGCGCCCTGCACCTCCCCGGCCGGCCCAGCTCCTGCCCCTCGGCCTTGCGCAGACGCGGAACTGCGGGAGACCGCGGCGCGGAGCCAGGGCGGGCAGAGCGGAATGTGAGTCCCCGACCTGGCCTCATGTTGCTGCCGGGCTTGAGATCCCGAAGCTAGGAACCCCCACCAGAGTGGGCAATGAAGACCCTGAGGACCGGAGGTGGCTTTCTTGCTCTGACACAGCCAAGGGCCCCCAGATTTGTGAGTGAGGTGGCAGGAACTGGATGCACAACCAGCTGACCCAGCTTAATTTCCAGTACCTAAAAGTACCCTTTTCCTGGGTTGTGATTTTATAGAGACTAATGCAAAAATTAAAGACACTATAACCTCCTGGTTTTCGATTGATTTCTTTTTTTGACCCAGTGATTGGACCTTGTGGTCGTTTTACTGTCAAATCAAGGAAGCTGAGACTGAAAAATTATTTTTAGCTACTTTCTAATGTAGCTTTCTCCTAGAAGTCTTCCTGAAGTTAATGTGCAAGAATGTTTCCAAGAGCCAAGGTCCGCAGGCAGGCCTGGGTATTGCAAAGAGAAAGAAACAATCTTGCAGGCTCCTGCTTTCTGCCAGTGCAAAGCTGAAACTACTTGTTTGTTCGTTGCTTTTCAGTGCTTATTTCTTAGAGATCCAAAATTAATAAAAAAATTGAATGCAAATTGATATATGTTAGAACTAGCTTCACTTTTTAAAATTTGTTCATCTCAGCCTCTTCTTTTTTCTTCTTTGTTTAAAATTTGTGAGTTAATGAAGATTCCTGTAAGAGCCAGGTATGGTGGTGTATGCCTGGGATTTTAGCACAGGTTAGGCTGAGGCAAGAGGACCTCAGTTTGAGGGCAGCTGATTTTAATACAAGGAAACCCAGGTTGAAAAATACAAAAAGAAAAATAGGGAGGGGAAACATAGGTAAAAGAAATTCCCAATTTAAATATTTTGATTTCTGATTATGAGACAGTTCTTCAATATATTCTCTTTTAACTGTTCGTGGACTTCCTGTATGTTTCAGGAAAGGCCCATGTAGATTTCAGCTCTGTCACTAGCCACTTAAATAGACAAATTTGGTTCTGTGCCTTATGGTTTCTGTCCCGCAAACACTCTGTTCTGCCCCTCTTCCAGGAACTATCTATAGTCCCATCAATTTCAGTAAGACTTGTGAAATGACAGTCTGGTTCCAATTTCTCCTTGTTTTTATCATATAGATTGTGTGTGTGTTTCACACATGTGTCTTGTATTCCTTAGGAAACAAATGGTAAGTTTTTAGGTTGAAAACCATGAAATATTAATAAAGCACATTTACCAGACATGCTCATTCAAAATGGCTCTTTGCTGAGCTCTACCAAGAATGCAAGTTATTAAGACAATTTATGCTTTCCTCTCTAATCTCATTGTAGCTGTGGAGAGAAGTCTGAGGTTTCCAATTTGTAAACTTTGAACCAGGAAACTCTTAATGATACTGTGTGTCACCTAATTACCCCTGAGAACATAGGCAACAGGCTCAGATCAGTTAGAACAAACAGCAGATACACAGCTCAGAGCAGAGCCTAAAATATGCCATGTACATTGGAGCAAATACTTTTGGAGCTGCTGGCTGATTTTGAGAAGCCAAACCACCTTCACTTGTTGCTATAGACACGAATGTCCCTGACATCAGCACTGTGCTATTTTGGAGAACATCCCTACAATTGTCATAAAAATGTCCCCACAGTTCTATCTCTTTGTGTCTCTTGCTTTGCCTAAGTCACCAGCTGTCATGAAATTTCCCAAGGCAGAGAATTTTCTAAACCTAAAAAAAACCATATTGATCCTCATCATAAAGAAGATGAAGAGGAGGACAAAAAGAGAAAATAAGAAAATTCTACTCTAATTCTCCCCGTTCTCCATCCAACAGCCAAATCACCTTTCCTCTTATATTCAACCCCACCTAAACGCAAAACACAAATCAACTGTGCCTTGGGTACCCAGGACTAGAGTTGCCAGCTCTGAAAGCGAGGGAAACCTCTGAAGTCTGCCCATTATGTACATCACTCTGTGTCTGCTACATTTGACTCCTGAAATCTCTGCTTCCTATTGCAAGAGACTATTACAGGATCCTTTCATAGAAGAATGCTTACTTAGTGCTCAAGCCTTTGAATTAACAGGGACCAAAACTGTAAGCAGTGGTATAGTAATGAAGGTACCGCCCCTGTCTTGTCCCTTTATTTCCTGGACTATTAGTGTGATTGATATTCTTCATAATAGGCTAATATCACCTGAAAGAGGGCAGAAAAGGATAGCTGCCCCATGTAGGTTTAAATCTGAAGACAGTGATGAAGGCCAACCCTCCTAGGAGGCAAATTTTCTAGTTTGACATGTGGTTGTATACTCTTCCTGGAGAGAGACAAGCCTAGAAATATCAATCTAGATCAATTCATGGCTAGTTGCAAATGATTGGGTTGAATTGTCAAGGAATGGAATTTTGTGGATGGACTTTCCAGAATGACCACGATCCAAGATATTTTGGAATGTGAAACATCCCCCCCCCCCGGGAGTGCATATTGCAAAGGTGACTCACTGATGAGGTAGACAGAATCATGCATTCCGGGATAACTCTCCTGAGACACAGCTCGTGCACAGGTCAGTAATAATATAGGCATTCCTTCACCCATGTTGACCTGCCTAGTCCTACTTTTGCATGTCTGATCTACCCGCAACACAAACCAATAATGACACCCTCCTTGTATGCTTGGTATATGGGACATAAGCCAGCACCCCCATCTGGCATCAGGCTCATTACATTGAACTTCCGTTCTCAGAACTGGGTAGAGATTCATCCACATTAAAATGCACATATTCCAGATACAAATGTGCTTTCCTCGTCATTAATATTTCTGCTGAGACCACTATGAATGGGTATGGAGAACATCTTAAGCTCCCTCAATATAAGCATTGCATATAACATTCCATCTGATCAAGAAATTTTACAGCATAGGGAGTCATCATGGGCTCACACGCAAAGAAATCAGCTCATCATATATTACATAGCCGGAACATTACAAAGAATGAAATGTGGGCTGGCTTAGTGAAGAGTGTTCCTGGACCTTGCAGGGTTCTAAGAAGATACGTTATATCCCATTACATAAAGATACATTAAGTTGCTCTGACTTCATGTGAATGGAACACATGGACCCATGATAGAATAATGAGATTGAGAGTGACATCTTCACTGTATCCCTCATCACACACTAACGTGTGTTTTGTTTTCCATCTCTCTTTTTTGGCTCAGGAGAAACCCAACATCATTACTGTTGTTGTTGCTATTATTGGTGTTGGTTTGGTCACAAATTGTTGGCCGGGGACCGACCACATGACACTACTCAATCTGAAAAAGGCCATGAAGTACAATCTCACTATGTGTTCAGGAGGCAGTGAGTCAAAAATGTTTTTAATAGCACAAATGACAGTTGTAACCTTTAAGTAGTTAATTCTAGGTGCTTAACATGAGGCAAAGACAAGCTAATACAGGGGCTATGACCTCAAGGCTGTGATTATTACCCAATTATCTGAAAGTACACAGTTCTTTACATGAAATGTCTTACTAGCTTTGAAAACTCGGGCATGTATCTCAAATTATTAACTTCAATTTTCTCATCAGCAAAGATGGGATAGTTAATAATAGATACTTCAAAGGTTATGGAGATCAAAGTAACTAATATACAGGAACTAAGTATCTACCTAAATCTTAATTGTTTTATTGCTTTTACTGCTAGCGTTATTGACTTAAGTAGTAGTATCAGGCTGCCACAGCTGCCCTATAATTGCATTTAGAGTCCCAAGCAATTCAGTTTTCACCATAATATGTGTTTGTGTTTTTCCAAAATGTTTTCCTTAGTATTATAGTACACTAGAAATTGCAAGTGTTTTGTCATTTTTCTGTGTCAAATAAAAACACTGTGAAATAATAAACAAGCATGATTTTAAATATCTTTTACTTAGCAAAATTCAATAAGTGGACTATGCTTCTAATTTCATGACCTAACCAATCTACTTCTGTCGTAACCCTGCCATCAAATACAGAGACTGGGAATAGTCATCAGTCAGAACTTGAAGCAAATTTCTTTATTTAACATTATGGGAAAACTCAGAGGGAGTGTGATTTCTAGACACAGTTGGTCATTGTTCAACAAATGTTACCCAATTACTTCCATAAATGGACTGATTTTTATAACAGTTTGATATTATTTCTAAAGTGTTTATTGTCTTTCCAAGGACAAAAACATTAGTCAGAACATTGCTACCTCAGAATTTCATTCAGAGTCAAACTTATCTGCAGTGCCCTTGAAGATATTTTCTTTACTTAAAATTGGCAGAAATCATTCTTATGAAATGTTTTGATGAGAAAGGTATTGCTTTACATTTTGATGATAGCCTTGAAGGAAGGCTCTCTTAGACATAGAGGAACCACTTCATAAAACTGAGCCTAATGGTAACTCCTTTTTCTTTTAAAAAGTATCTCTATTGAGGTTTAATTTGTACTTAAAATGCTCAAGTTTACAATCATTGGTTGTACAGCCATCAACAAACTAAACTGTAGAACTTATTAATCACCCCCCAAAGGAAAGCTTTGCTCACATTAACAATCACTCCTGTGTACCCCAAGGCTCAGGCCCTCGAACTATTAAAGTAATTTTTAAATCTCTAGAGTTACCCATTGTTCACATAAAAAGAATTAAGTAAATTGTGCTCTTTAGTGACTGACTTCTGCCATTCAGCATGTTGTTCTCAAGATTCAATTCCCTTGACTCTCTGTGCGTTTGCATCTGTTGGATGCCTTATCTCTTTGAACACTGAAACTTTTTTAATCCTTTCACATCCATTCTGTAATACATATGGATGTGTGTACATGTTTGTGTGCTGTGTGTATGTATCTTCTGAATTGTAACATGCAATCTGAGAGTTAAT